CAAAAATGAAACTTTTGGTCTTGAAATTTGGGATGTTACAATTAGAAAGATACTACAATTTGTCACTTTTAACTATTTACAAAATATTATTTGGGTTGTTTAAGTTGAACTAAAATTTATATTTAAGTTGATCCTGTAATGTTATCTTTAAATTGACAATTTAAGTATTTTATACAAATTTTTCCAAAGTTGTAGCTTTAAAATGATAATGGTTTACATACAACAACATATTAGACCTAATAAATTAAATATAATATTTTAAAAGTTAAAAACATAACTTTATAAGTAGAAGAAAATATATTCTTTTAAATATTAAAATTTAGTTTATATATGATTACACTTTAAGTTTGATATTTATTTAACCTTATTAACCAACTTATAATCATTATTAGAAAGAAATTGAAAAGTCATAAGAGTTTCAAATGAATGTGGTAAAAGAAAAAAAATGAACGAGAGTTTCAAATGAATGTGGTGAAAAGAAAAATACTTCTTTTATAAGTATATAATGACTAGGCGAATATCCACGCGTTGCGCAGAATAAAATTAAAACTTCTGGTAAGCTTATGTTATTGAAAATATTTATGTCATTTATATTAACTATAAAATAATAATTATTACATTTAGTTTATATAAAATTATAACTAATTTGAACAACAGATAAAATAACGCTTATTAAAATCAAATCATTTAATGGTCTATATTCATGTTTTACGTGTGTATAATATTAGTTATATTTGTCAACTATTTTAATTTACTACTGTTATGATTTATTAATTTAAAAAAAAAGTGTTTTAATTTTATCATGATGGTTATTTAAATTATCAACAACTGTTTGTAATCTAACATAGTTTAATTTCTAAGTTTCTATTATTTTTAACTGAATTGATTTTTAGTTATTATAAAATATAGTTTTCAGACACCTTTTAGTTAATTTGATTCATAGATTTAAGTTCTTTTATATTTATTATATTTAATGTTTTCCTTTTAACTATGTTAAAAAACCATAAATTGAATTTTTGTTAAAACATTATTTGATATTTTACTTTAAGTTTTAAATTTTACACTAAATTTTTAAGCTTATTTGATATATTAATGTAGATTATTTATTTAACAATATATTGAAGTTAAAAAATTAAATATATCATATTGATAAGTCATGAAGTCTTCCGTTTATGATAATGTTTACAACTAAAAACATATTTAAGTTAATAAATTAAGTATATTATATGGAAATATGAAGAGTTGAGAGTTTCAAATGAATGTGGTGAAAGAAAAAATGTTTCCTTTATAATATAGTATGATAATAGAAGAAAATATATTCTTTTAATATTGAAATTTAGTTTATATATGATTACACTTTAGGTTTTATATTTATTTAACCTTATTAACCAACTTATAATCATTATGATGCGACTTCGACCTCCGGCGAATCTTCTGGTCTTCTGCTGCAGCAGAGATCTGGACATCACAGTGCAAAGTCGGTTTGTGACATCTGTTTCACAAGAGATAACACATTTTGCTCTAGTATTTGTAGATATTATAACAAATGAAGATCTTCAAAAACCAAGAACACAAAAGTTTGTTAGAACTTGTATGAAACAGTTTGTTGTAAATTTCAACCATAAATTCATAGAGAAACCAATGTAATCTAAACTCATAATACTAACATGACATATGGATATGGAAATCTTGCAGGAAATAAGACGGCTTTAAAATGAAAAGCAGTTGACGTGTGAACTGGAATGAGGATTAGAACTTGAATGAAGCAGTTTGATGTAAGTTTGATGAAAAAAGAATCGCAGAAGCAATTGAAACATAAAGAAGACGAATGAGGACTTTCAAAATTATGGATTTCACGTTCTGAGGTAAAGTTATATATATATTGGAAAAAGGTTATGATATTATGATTTTATTGTTGTTGGATCTTTATTGGATAAAATTTTGTTCCTGATTTTTTGGGATTTAAAAGATTACAACTGAAACATAATTTATTAATTTACTACTGTTAGTTATATTTGTCAACTATTTTAATTTACTACTGTTATGATTTATTAATTTAAAAAAAAATGAAAGTGTTTTAATTTTATCATGATGGTTATTTAAATTATCAACAACTGTTTGTAATCTAACATAGTTTAATTTCTAAGTTTCTATTATTTTTAACTGAATTGAATTTTAGTTATTATAAAATATAGTTTTCAGACACCTTTTAGTTAATTTGATTCATAGATTTAAGTTCTTTTATATTTATTATATTTAATATTTTCCTTTTAACTATGTTAAAAAACCATAATTGAATTTTTTGTTAAAACATTATTTGATATTTTACTTTAAGTTTTAAATTTTACACTAAATTTTTAAGCTTATTTGATATATTAATGTAGATTATTTATTTAACAATATATTGAAGTTAAAAAATTAAATATATCATATTGATAAGTCATGAAGTCTTCCGTTTATGATAATGTTTACAACTAAAAACATATTTAAGTTAATAAATTAAGTATATTATATGGAAATATGAAGAGTTGAGAGTTTCAAATGAATGTGGTGAAAGAAAAAATGTTTCCTTTATAATATAGTATGATAATAGAAGAAAATATATTCTTTTAATATTGAAATTTAGTTTATATATGATTACACTTTAGGTTTTATATTTATTTAACCTTATTAACCAACTTATAATCATTATGATGCGACTTCGACCTCCGGCGAATCTTCTGGTCTTCTGCTGCAGCAGAGATCTGGACATCACAGTGCAAAGTCGGTTTGTGACATCTGTTTCACAAGAGATAACACATTTTGCTCTAGTATTTGTAGATATTATAACAAATGAAGATCTTCAAAAACCAAGAACACAAAAGTTTGTTGGAACTTGTATGAAACAGTTTGTTGTAAATTTCAACCATAAATTCATAGAGAAACCAATGTAATCTAAACTCATAATACTAACCTGACATATGGATATGGAAATCTTGCAGGAAATAAGACGGCTTTAAAATGAAAAGCAGTTGACGTGTGAACTGGAATGAGGATTAGAACTTGAATGAAGCAGTTTGATGTAAGTTTGATGAAAAAAGAATCGCAGAAGCAATTGAAACATAAAGAAGACGAATGAGGACTTTCAAAATTATGGATTTCACGTTCTGAGGTAAAGTTATATATATATTGGAAAAAGGTTATGATATTATGATTTTATTGTTGTTGGATCTTTATTGGATAAAATTTTGTTCCTGATTTTTTGGGATTTAAAAGATTACAACTGAAATTTATTTTAATATACGATTTTCATCTAAAAAAGGAGTATAGAATATTAGGAAATAGTAAATTAAATATACGAAATTTATAGAAGATCAGTAAATATGTTGCAACCATTACAAAAATGTATGAATTAATTGAAGAAAATAAAAGATATAAATTTTGTTTAGAATTTTTTATTGATTATTTAAAAAAAATAACATAAATTATCTTGACAAAAATAATAGTTAAACATACGATCATAGCCATGCTCCAGAAGGAGAATTTTCAAAAATGGCTCCATTTCGCATATTGAGTTTTGACATCGAGTGTGCTGGTCGAAAGGGTCTTTTTGCTGGGCCTACACATGATCCTTTTATTCAGGTTTTAATTCATATATAAGTAAATTTACTCAAGTAAATTGTTATGTTACAGTTGTTGATTGCATTATTTTTACCTGTTCTTTAGATTGCAAATCTGGTCACACTTCAGGGAGAGGAACAACCATTTGTGAGAAATGTCATGACCCTAAAGTCATGTTCACAAATAGTTGGTGTTTTAGTCATGTCATTTGACACAGAAAGAGAAGTTTTACTGGCTTGGAGGGTAATATTCTTGTACTTTTATATATGCTTAAAAATATCATATTATAAAGAAAGGTCTTCATGATGCTGAATTTTTCCAATATTGGTTTTGTATTGCAGACAGTATGGTACAAGTGAAAGTAAAGAAGTTAAATTGGAAGGGAGAGTTCAGTTTGATTTACTTCAGGTCATTACTTCTGTAAAATATTATTGAACAAGTAAGTTGATATGTAGGGATAACTATAAGGTTTTAATTCATTGTCTTATTTTCTACAGGCTATGCAAAGAGATTATAAGTTAAGCTCATACTCACTGAATTATGTTTCAGCACATTTTCTTAATTAACAGTTATTATTTTTATGTCACTTTTTGTTTAAATATTGAGCTAAATGCTAGAAATAAAAATGTATTTCAATTATTTTGATTATTATAGCATCCTAATTTCATTTATTATTATCACAAACAACATTGTACTTTGATAAATCTACCAAGTTATAACAATATAATTCAAATATAAAGCAATTTTCATTTGTATAGTACGGTAAACTTTTATAAGTATAACAGGGGTAAAATGGGTAAAATGGTCATTTTATCAAGACATAACAGTTTACACTTCATTTATTTTTCTTTTTACATAGAAAATACAATCATGGCTAATTAAAAGTATAAATACAAACTATTTACAACACAAAAATTAAATATTTAAAAAAAACCTACTACTACACCAGGAAATACGAATAGCAATACACTTCAAAGGGGCAAATGAACAATAGCATTATGCTTCAAGGAAGAGACAACAAAGGCATTATACTTTTTAACTAAAAGGGGTAGCCAACAAATCATAAAAACCTTTTAGTAATTAACAACCTGGATGAGATGTAACATCTGAACAATAATAAACTCATGGGCAATATCGGCCAAAAATTAAAAATATTAAGGAAAAATTCAAAATATCTTTAGAAGCAAATAAACTTCAAAATATATTTAATTTGAGTTAAGACCAAAATCAACTAACTTGTCCACTTTAAAACAATAAAAATATCCAAAAAATATTCAAAACCAATAATATTTGACATCCTAAATATCCCAAAATAAAAATCATACCAAGCAATCAAAATATCTTTAAAACCAAAACAAATGATCAAAATATATTAAATGTATGTTATAACCAATACCAACTCACTTCTCCATTTTTGGAATTAAGAGTGGAGTTTCCTCTCCGGTTGACTTTCTTTTAGTCTTAGTTGAACTTAAATCATCTCCAGAATCAACATCATAAATTTCTTGGAGGTTGCGCTTCAAATCAGTTGATATTTTGCTTGGACTTGTTGTGGTTGACTTATCAACTGTTGAGGGTGTAAAACTTTCATCTGCTTGTGAGATCACACCCTAATTTAAAAAAATAATAATAATAAGTGTTTAATTCGAAAAATTAAATATAAATAAAAGTTAATAAAAGGAATTGAAAAACCTTTTGAACAGGCTGTACAACATCATCTGATTCCAAAGCAACTTGATTTAAGGAGACAGATTGAATACTCTAAAAAATAAAATGGAAATATGTTAATCGTTATGTATTTAAACAGTAAAGAATTATAAATGTTAATCACATTTTTTAGGATGCTTTTCCAATCCAAAGTTAAGGTTTGTTTATGACCTATATAACTAAAACCTTTAGTAACAGCAGCCATAGTGGGTTTTATAACTATATAACTTTCATCTTCCTTTAAAAGATGACGAAATCTGGAGAAATTCTGATTGAAGACACGAGCATGGTATTGTGTACCCTGTTAAAAAAAATTAAGAAATTATTATTTTGTTGAAACATGTGTAATATTGAATGATGAATAAAAAATATATGAAATACAACAAACCTCCTCGTCCATCAGGATCATTTCAATTGAACAAACTTTATTATTTCTGACAAAGTTCTAAATTTTAAGCACCCAAACCTTGATATGTGATTTTTCATCAATCTGGTCAATGTTATTTAGGTAAACTTTATTTCCTATATTCATTTTCTGCAAGAAAATGTAAACCATATAGAATTGTAAGGAAAATTAGCAACCTTCAAGAATGTACAGAACATCCTAACTAACAACTAAAACAGAAAAATTATAAATCAGCACATGACAAAAACAAATAATTCATATGAAATAATTTTTAAGATTCAATAAATCTTTTTATAATAAAATGGAATACAAACAAAAACCAATAATTCATATGAAATAATTTTTTAGATTGAATAAAACTTTTTATAATAAAATGGAACACAAATATAAATTGCCCCGCTTCTGTTTTACTTTTTAATTATTTGATTGCATTATTTGATGTTAATTTTTTCCGGATTTATTTTCCCTGATTTAACTAATGGCAGTTTCGGATTTACAGTTTCAAAAAAGATGGCATTTTCCCTAAATTAAAAATCACACCAAAACAATATATTTAACATGTAGATATATTTAAATATAAAATTAACATGAAAACGACAATTATACCGACAATGCCCCTGCAACTTACTAATAGATAACATAACAATTAGTAATGGTAATGTAGATATGTTGAATTTGTACTGCTAAATGCTCATTTATTCATCTACATTCATACGTAAATAGACAAAGTAATAATAATTGAACTCACCAATTAGGTTTACAGTAACTGCAAATCAAAGTAAATGTAACAGCAAAACAAAAAAAAACATACTGTAATAGTTAAAGCTTCAGATCTGAAGAAGACTATTTTATTTTTTTAAAGATAATGAAGTTCTCATGTTCATTAGTTTTTTCGTCTTCATCTACATTCATACGTAAATAGACAAAGTAATAATAATTGACATCATAAATTAGGTTTACAGTAACAGCAAATCAAAGTAAATGTAACAGCAAAACAAAAAAAAATATTGTAATAGTTAAAGCTTCAGATCTGAAGAAGACTATTTTTTATTTTTTAAAGAAAATCAAGTTCTCATGTTCATTAGTTTTTTCGTCTTTTTAACTGAAAAGGTAGAAGAAGAAGAAGATTAAGAAGAATTAGGAAAAAGAAGAAGAAGAAGATCACTCATATAATGACAACATGATAGAAACTGATAAATTAGACCATGAAGAGCATAGAAATATTAGTAATCCTGATATTTGAATACACTAACCTGATATTTGATTATTGAAGCGTTGCAGAATCAAGAAGAATGAAGAAGAATACGTTTGCAAAGATTTCCATGGAGCAGAATTTCTATGGAGTAGAATGGTAAAAACAAAAGAACCGTATAAATGGTATTTACGTTTGCAAAGATTTCTATGAATCAAGAAGAATACGTTTGCAAAGAAGAATACTGCAGATTTTTAGGGATTTAATGATTGAAAATTATTTAATTTGCAATCAAAATAAACAAACTTTCAAATTTATTCGAATCTGAATTTTCATTAACCTATTTTTTCAAATTATTTCCATAACTTTTATTCATTTAAAATTATTGGTTGAATATTTTGAATGCAGTTGTTTGCTCAATTTTCCGGATTTATTGCATCAGTTTGAAGTTTGATTTCATTTGGATTGAATGGCATTTACGTAAATATAGATGAATAAATGAGCAGGAAAACTCGATTTTGGGGGTTTTATAGATTGACACGTGGCAGAGTTGTACTTATTTATTAGAATTAGGATATATATATATATATATATATAGATATATATATGATATATATCATATATTATCTAATATATATATAGCTATATATATATATATATATATCTGGTAAGTTTAATAAATTAATAATAACTATTAAAAATAAATGAAAAATAAATTGTAAAGGGCATTTTAGTCATTCCAATTCTCACAAACATGTAAATTTATACGAATGAGGGACGAAATATGCACATTTTTACAATGTCCGCGTTAATTTTTGAAAATATAGACTAAACTTGTTTTTTAGTATATGCACAAGGGACAATTGACGTAATTTACCCTTTATTTTATTTCTGTTGTACCATAAAAGCAAGAGACGATTTTTTTTTCTTTGTTTGGTAAGCATCAAGAATGAGAGACATGTGATATAATTTTGTTGTCTTTTTTTTTTTCTTGTGTACCGATCAAGAAGTTAAAGAAAAAAAATCTATACGAAACAACACAAAAAGGAAAAAAAAAATTATACGAGACATGAGATATAAAACCCAACTTAAAATACGTAATTTTTCTTCTACTAAGATTTATATTTTGTTTGAATTTGATAAACATTGATAATATTTAGTTAAAACATTAATTATATATCTTTGAGAAACAACACAAGTTTATATCATTTTTAAAAGTTATATTAAAACAATGCATAATTCTTTTTTTACCTGCTCAATAATGTAACTCAAATAATTCATTAAATAATACTATCATGCTCAACCGACTTAACGAGTAACCGAATGTGTTTAGAATTATAAAAAATAAGTTTAAAAATGTAATTATAAAATAATAAATATTAACAAAATTTAAAATAAGTTTAAAATTATAAATAGGGATATATACACTAACATCTCAATATTTTTATCGATTTGACAAGAAAATTCTAAAGTTTATTTTTTTTATAGTAAAGTCCCAATTACCGACTCACCGGAAAAAAAAAGTAAACATGTCAAAATTTTTGACATGTTTATCTTTTTTTTTCCTGTTAGCCGGTAATTAAAACTTTACTGTAAAAAAAATAAACTTTAGGACTTTCTTATCAACTCGTGAATTAAAACTTTAATGTCAAAAAAATAAAGTTTAGGATTTTTTTGTTAAATTGTTGAAAATATTGAGACTTTAGTGTATTTTCGTAGCCCAAACTTTTAATTGTGATTTTTGTCGCAACACCATTGTTTTTCTTATCATCATCATCTTTACCCTGATTGATACAATCATGATCAAGGGAAACAAATGCAAAAGAGAGAGCGAGAAATGGTGAAAAGATTTGTAAAACTTTCTTCTTACTTCGCCGCCAAATCTTGAACTAAAAAGTAGGGGCCAAATTATACAAACACAAACAACACATGTCTAATAATAAGGGTGTGAATGTGAAGAAGGTAAGAAGGACAATTTCGTTTTTTATGGTTTCTTAGTTCTCCATTTTTAAAACTGCAAAAAGCCAACACAACCTGATTTTTTCTTTCTTTATTTATTATCTCTATTTTTTTCAATATTGGTTTGTTGAGATTAAAAAAAAACTATTTAACAATAAGCAAACGATAAAGATTTCAATATGATCTAGCTGACTAGAGCAGGTTTCAATAACTCTTATGATTAAAAACTATCATACCCTAAAATTTCTAACAAAAAAATGGATATATACATTGAAGTCCCAATATTTTCAACAGTTTGACAAGAAAGTTCTGAACTTTATTTTTTTTTTATAGTGAAGTCCTAATTCACGATTTGACAAGAAAGTCCTACTTTATTTTTTATTTTTATTTTTTTGTCAAAAAAGCCCTAATCACCGACTAACCGGGAAAAAATGGGTAAAAATGTCAAAAACTGCCGGTAGTTAGGACTTTACCGTCAAAAAAAATAATATTTAGGGCTTTCTTGTTTAATCGATAGGGGTGTGTATGAGGCGGTTTGGTTCGGTTATTGGTCAAAACCGAACCATATCATTACAGTTGGTTAATGTATTTCAATAACCATTAGGTAACGGTTAATATTGGTTTTGGTTAATGGTTTTAGTCGGTTAATGGTTATGGTTAATGGTTAATATCGGTTAACCAAAATGGTCTAAGATAACTTAAAAATAAAAATATTTTTCTATAAAAATTGAAAAATACAAAGCATATCGTTATAAAATGTGAATGATTGTGTATATATAATTGTATTGATAGAAGATTACTTATCATATCTAACTCCAAATAATTACCCTTTAAATTTTCAATTTTTAATATAATTACATACCAT